TGTGCATGTTAGTTTTGTCCGGTTGTTTTAGAAAGTATGAAGTGCATGTTTGTTGGGCTTGGTCTCAACGCCCTCTAGAGATACTACTAGCTATGGAACTAGAACCCCACATTTGTTTCGTTGTTTCCTTGTGCAATTTCGCCTTGCTGCGGCGTCAGATGATCGCGGAAGCAATCGAATCCGGAACAGTTTCCCTGGACAACCCGAACGTGAGGAGCCTCCTCGAGTCCTGCGCCTCCAACGGGATCGGCACGACCGGCCTCAACACCAAGAACGCCGTAAAGAAGTCAGCAGAAGGGGTGGCAGGGGAAGGAGCAGGAGGCCGCAAGTCTCCGGGAGTAGGGGGTAAGAAGTCCGCATCTCCCGGGGGAGGTGGCCAGAAGAAGGCCGTGGCGTCGAAGGCGGCGGTGCCTGGCAACACCGGAAACGGCGGCGGCGGCAAGAAAACAAGCGCCGCAAGTTCTGGAACTCCCGCCGCCGCTGCCAACGGGGACGCCAAGAAGAGCGGTGGCGGGGGGGGGAAAGGGAAGGGCAACGCCGTCGCGGGGAAAAAGGCGAACACGACCTCTTCAAACGGGAAGGGGAAGGTTGATGCGGGCAAAGGCGGAGCCAAGAGCCCCAAGGCTTCTTCTTCTTCCGCGAGTAACCCGGTCGACAAGTCGCCTGCCAATTCCTCCCGCACCAAGGCCAAGCGGACGCCGACCAAGTCGGTGGGAAAGCCGGGGCTCGAGGTTCCGAAGACGCTGTTCCCGGAGTTGGTGCGGCTGATCGAGAAGGGAGGTGGGTTGGAGTGAGAATCTCAGGCTGTCTTGGCGTTGGTTGATGGTACGACTGGTGCTGGGTCGACTTATTCTGTTGGTCTTGTCCGGCAGACATGAGAGCGCTTGAAAGACGGGTCGTGTTTCGTGCGCGTGTCACGTGCTGCTGCTGCTCTAGTCAGTCTGGCTTTGTGGTGTCTCCGCTCGGTGTTCCGGGTGAGACCTCGAGCGTTTGGAACCGAAATGGAGGGGAGCATGGTTTGCATCTGCACTTGTACGCTATTATATAGGATTGTCGCAAGACATGCGGCTAAAGGCTCGATGGCTTACTGTCACGGGATTCCTTGCTGTAGTGTAGAGTCATACACCCCCACCCCGGTCCTAGTGCTGATACCGAAAACTCTTGATGCTTTTATCTTGACGGCGCTGCAATGCAGAGTTGACTTCCAAGGACGATATGCTGCAGATCTTCCAGAAGAAGCACCCAGCCTTCACCCAAGTGTCGATCAACAAGGCGATCGGGTGAGAGCGATACACTTTTATTGTGTAAACAGACGATCGTGTTTGAAGTAGCGTTCGTTGTTTCTTGAACGGAAGGGGTACGGAAGAAGCAAGCATCGCGGAGAGATCCCCCAGGTGTTGTAGGCGATATAAAGGCGTTTACTCTACATGTAGCATGTGCCCGTACGGTGGGACTGTAGCTGTAGGACGGCATCGTCAGCAGGCTGAATATTACGTCTCCATCCCTTTCTTGCTCCGGCGATGATGTAATTGTTACAATACCCCTTGTCCCCCCTCGGTTTTGCGCTGCAGGGTGCTGGGAGAGAAGGTGTCTCGCGGATCGAAGTGGAAGGTTTTGGACGCTGGGAAAAAGTACCTGAGCATGCCTGTCTACCAGGGGAACGTGCCCGAAGAGGTACATACAGCAGTCATCCTTTGCATATCAGTCATTTCTTTTCAATCAGTCATTCCTACAGTCGTTACTTTGCATGTCGTGCGTGCGGTTCTCGTTTCGCGTATGTCTTGAGACCCACACGTGTTCTCCTCTTCCCGTCTCACGGAAGTATAGGGTACGGTACGGTATGGTATGTGTGGCCTACACTGAGCTGTGTTTGTTGCTCGGCCAAACCTGGTGTTTGACTCTCGGTTACTTTTGAGCCTTCTCTGACGCGGCTGGTGTATGTTTGCGTTTCAACTGGTGGATGTGCGTGGGTGTTGTCTGTGTGTTATCGCGGGCGGGCCTACCAGGTGGCGGTCCTCTCTGCGTTGTCGGCGAAACGGAAGAGCGGTGGTTCAGAGTCACATTCGGCGAAGAAACGCAAGGTGCGATTGATCGATCGGATGATTGTGTGCAGCAGACAGCAGTGCTGGTACATGGGCGTTATTTCCTGAGCACAGAAGCGTTTATGGCCTCATCGTGACAACTTCGGGTGAGTGAACTTTCACGAGTTTCAGATTGCCATCCCAATTCAACGACAGCGAAGGCGCGAAATGTTTTTTCAAGAATACCACTCTATTTTCCTCGGATATGGCGGCGGCGGGAGCAGCAATGGAGGTTTTCGTCTCGCCTCACTGTCATTAATCATTTGGGATGGTGTGTTTGCGTATTGTTGCTTGTTCGATTTTTCTGACGTTCCTTGCCTCCCACCACCTCTGCGCGAAACTCATGCGGCACCGCAGTCAACCACGCCCAGCAAGGCCAAGGGCGAGTCTAAGAGTCCAATCACAAACTTCTTCCCACCCAAGGCATCGGGGGCGGCCGACGCCAACGGGGGGGGGGGGGGCTCCGCACCTAGCAAGAAAC